GGTTAACACAGGACTGTACTCTGGGCTCCATCCCCGCGTCCCCACGACCAACCCAGTCAGGTCCCAGGCTGCCTCCTCTGAGCCCTTCCAGCCGGTTGAGCAGAACAGAGCAAAGATTTCATGATCCTCTCAGGAAAATCTGATGAACTGGAATGTGTACTTTTAACAGAGCTTAAAATTACTTACAGACCCAGGAGCAGTGACTTGTTTAACTAAAATGCGTTTTCCACCATGCCTCGTGGTGTCAGTTAGGAAGGAGGCTGTGGGGCAGTCTGCATTTCAGCGCAAGTCACCATGTCCCCCAGACAATCCGCAGGATCACCCAGGGAGCCAGACACTCTCATCCTCCTGGAAGGACGAGGGCCACACAGCCGGCCTCCTGCTGAGCTGGGGAAGTGCCCAGGCCTTCACTAAGCCGGGCGCTGGGAGGCACAGGGTGCAGCCCCCGCATGGAAGCGGAGAGATGTCACTCTCCACACAATTTGCTGGCACCCCTCTGCTTCCCTGCCTATTCAGACTGGGAGTTTCTCTAGCCCCCACAAACAGAATCTCTTCTTTGCTAGAAGAGACTGCACCGCACCAGTCAAGTTGTAATGAACTTTAATCAGCCCTCCCACAAGCTTAGGTTATAGAAATTGAAAAGTTCTTTCCTACCTTTGCAAGCACCAAAGGAAAAAGCAAACAAACCCCCCCAAAAAAACCCCAAACGCCCAGCAACAGAGAAATTCCAGCAACCCCTCAGAGATAAGTCAGGGCAGAGGGCAAATTCCAAAAGGCAATGGCTTCGGCCAAACGGTATTTCTGCAGTGATCTTCAGAGCAGCCAGACTCCACTGGCCCAGAACCCCCACCTGGGGCGCACCCCGCCAGCCGGCCAACCAGCGGGCCGGACGTCAGCGAAGGTGCGGGCGCCCGAGGGCGCGGGGGGGAGGGAAAGGGCAGGGCGCTTGGCAGCAGGAGGCGCTTCCCTGCGGAGCCCACCCCACCCCCACGGTTAGACATTCCCGGCCCTGCAGCTGCCCAAAAAGTAGCAGGGCTTAAAAAACTCTGCTTTCACTGGGCAATCAGGCTCTGTTAGGCCTGCCTCATTGACCGAGAGGCTTTCTCAGTCTGTCTTTCATGTCTTATCTTTAAAAAATAAATTTCTATTCTAAATCCGGGTCCCTGAGGGCAGACCAGGAGGCAGGCCTTCCTGCCCAGCACCGCACTGGGCAGGGGTTCTGGGCATTGCCCAATACTCCCTGGCTCTGGTCAGGACATTACCTTTTTCTTCCTCCGTTGAGCAGCCAATCCCCACACTCACAAAAGAAACAGAGGAAGAAGTACCCCTTTAATATTTTTAAGGGATCTCCAGTCCGTTCTTATTACTAAGAAAAGGAGAATTTCTATGTATCAGTTCTTGCCTCCCTCCCTGCAACTGAGTCCTACATTCTACTGCCCTCCAGAAAATAATATTAATTATGATTATTCACACCTACATAGTCCTTTGGCATTGTTCTAAGCACTCTGCAAGTCTTCGATCATTTAACCCTCACAAACCCCATCATTCCAGCTGGGGAAAGTGAGGCCCAGAGAAGGTAAGTAGCTTGGTTGGTGGCGGACCAGCATCTGTGGCCAGGCAGGCAGCGTCCACAGCCAGACTCTGACTAACAGGGACCCGGAGCTCTGTAGCAGCACATGGCCTAGTTTGTATTACTCAGACTCCTGTGTTTTGCTTCTGAATTTTTGCATTCTACCAATTACAGTTCATGACATTTCCTCCTGTCCAGAAAGAAAACCAGTGAGCGCAATAAAACATGTAGGTTTAGGTGTGTAAGTTTAGATGCCAGGGAGCCAGAGAAGGGGGGCTGTGTTACCCAGGGACTGGAGCTAATCTACACCCTGCCAGGCCCGCCTTTTCCCTGCTCTCCTTTTCTGGAATGGGCAGAGAGCAGCACGGACACCCAACTCCATGAGAGACGGGTCCTATGCGAAGACAGCACGCGCCACTGGTCATCGAGGGCAGGGCGCCTCAGCTGGGCATCCAGTTCTCTGGAATCTTCTCTCTCCCACCCCCAGGTTCAGGGCACAGCCCTCCAGTCTCTCAGTGTCTCCCATCTTAGGAATCCCATCTTCTCTCACCGAGTCAACCACCCTTTCCATGTGGACTAAGCCTTCAGGCTGAACCCCCTCCCAAACCCCCAAACTGTTGCTGGACACTGGCACTCAGAGATAAGCCTACAGTTGAGTTTCCTGCAGATGCAGCAACTGGTTTTTCCTCTGAAGTCCATCCCCTCTGAGCCCTCCTGTGGTCTCCCACTGGCCCTTCTCCAACCTTCCCCCCACACACGAGAGTCCCAGGAAGCCAAGGTCCCAGGCTCTCCCTCTACTACCCCTGTACAGCCTGACTCTCCAGCCTCATTGACTGGTCTTCCTGCGCCAAGCTCCCTCCCTGCCCCTGCAACCCATCGCCACCCTGCTCTATTCTCAGGACATTCACCATGTCATGTCTCTGAGGCGCCCTCAAACCATTTAGCCCGGCTTTAAGGCCTCCATGATCTGGCTGGGGTCACCTTCCTGAGCCCGCCCCCACCAGCCCCTTACGTGGGCCCTTTGCTTGAGGCCCACCGATCTACCCACTCGAAGCAACTCTCATCCTCTCCTACTGCTCCACGCATGCTCACGCTGAGCCCCCACCTGGAATGCCCTCCCCTCTGCAGGGTCTGTCCAAATTTCCCCTAGGCTTCAGACCAGCCGGAATCCTCCTTTCTGCACAAATCTGCCCTGGCCAACCCTCCCCTTCCTCAGCAGCTGCCTCATTTCACGTGGGCACCAACTCAATCGGGAACTCATCCCTCATGACAGCTATTCCAGTAACACTTGGCATTCTCAGCAACACCTACTGTTCCTCGGTTCCCGGGTGAGCCCCTCATCTGCCTCACTGAGGCCGGGCCCGTCCAGAGCGGCCCCGTCGGCCCCAGCACCCGCACCCCCGACGGGGCCCTGACCCACCTGAGGAGGTTTCCCTTGGGCGAGCTCTGCTCCCGGGCCTGGACGCCGCCCACGGTGAGGCTCAGCCTCTTGCCCACGTCCGGCCGGCCGTCGGCCAGGCTGCCGTCCGGGGCCCGGCCCGGGGAGGTGCCGTAGCGCTCCTGCAGGCAGCGCAGGGGCACCGTCCTGTTGATGGGCTGGAAGATGATGGCGCCGCTCTGCTGGGACACGGGCCGGCGGTTGCCCACGTAGCAGCGCACCAGGCCCGGGATGGAGTCGAAGCTCTCCGTCTCAAACTGGTACTGCACACGGCTGTAGGCCTCGCTGAGCCGCAGCACCGTCCGGTGGATCTTGAAGTGCTGAGCCAGGTTCTTCCACTGACAGGTCAGGACGAAGTTCCCGGGGCTGGACAGAGAGTCACGAACCAGGAAGTCGCCATCCCGCTGCACGAGGTTTTCTGACACCTTGGGGACAAAACGGTGAGCGGTCGGAAAGGCAAGCGAACATTCCTTTTCAAAGCGGCACCGCTCTCCGCGTCTCCGGGCCAACGGAGGACAACGCTACTCTGTCTCTTCCTCTTCAGGCAGCTCTTGAGTTTTTCAAACGTCAGGTTCTCAGAAGACCCCCTCCTGCACCTAGAACTAGTAGCCGCCCACCTACCGCGCGCTGAGGACTACTGTGGGTGCCGGGCCCCCGGAGGGAGGGAAGCGGGCCAGCGTCCCCACCGGCGCGGAGCTCCCCCCAGTCTACCTGGGCGAAGGCAAGTAAGCGGCAGGTGTGGTATGTCGGGTGTTGTAGAGGGAAGGAAGAAGTCAACCGGCAAGGGAGATAAGAAGTGCCTGGGAGGGGACGAGGGCTGCTCTCTGAGACAGGGTGGTCAGGGGGGTGTCATAAGAAGACGACGTGTACGCAGACCTGAAGCAAGTAAAATGACAGAAAACAAAAGAAAGGAGAAAAGGCATGGCCAGGGAGCCTGATCCCTCCCACCCCCAACAGGCGGAGGAGCAGGTTTTGTTGGCTGGGAGGAGGGGTCCACACGCAGGGGGAGGCCAGGCACTGTAGAAGCGGAGGCCTGAGTGCGGTGCTGGGCACACCACTCGCTGGAGGGCCTGTCACCAAGTCAGCTCCGTGTCTCATCTCACTGGCGGATTATATATTTGCATACGTAATCTATGCAAAGCACCAGACAGTGCCTGGAACGTGGTAGGTGCTCAAAAATTGTTAACTATGGAGATGCTGATGTTTATAGCAAAAGGAGGATCTGTACTGTGTTGGAGATGGTCGTTCCTAGAGCCAGACCGCCTGGGTTTGCATTCTGGCTCTACTGGGTGACTTTGGACAAGTTACATCTCTTTGTGGTTTAGTTACATCACCTGTAAAATGGGGATAATGTCACCTATGCAGTAGCTACAAAGATTTCATGGAGTAAAGTGTTAGCTGTAACTACCATTATTACTGTGCCGTTCGACAACCTGAAATGATGTGTGGCCGAAAATCTATACGCGTTGCAAGTGGGAAACAAAGTTTATGCTCACAATAAAGAGAAGGATGGTGGTGACGGTCATCAGTTTCATAAAACTTTGACATTTCTCCCAGGATATTCCAACATTGGATCAGTTTGCGTAGAAGAGTGTGCTACCATGGTTACCTTAAAATTGTATCTTTGCCTTAAAAATGTGTTTTCACACAGAAATTCCATTTCTTGGGACTGAGCCTGAGGAAATAATTATAAACATAGTAGTTATCTTAAAGGATGTTGGTGAGGGTGCCCACCAAAGAGTGGGGCATGCATACAATGGACATACACACAATGTAGGATGGTGTAGAAGACTATCTTACGGCAGAAGAAAATGCCTAGAACGTATCATTAAATGAAGACAATGGGCTGCAAAAGTCTATGTGGTATGATCTCATACTTGCAAAGCCTGGGAGGAGGAATTATATCAAAATGTTCAGAGTGGCTATCTCCAGGAGAGAAAATTATGGGTGAGAGTTTCATTTTCTTCATTTTATACTCTGTATAGTCTACAATTTTATTTTTTTTTAAATATTTTATTTGACAGAGAGAGACACAGAGAGAGAGGGAACACAAGCAGGGGGGAGTGGGAGAGGGAGAAGCAGGCCTCCCGCTGAGCAGGGAGCCCGATGCGGGGCTCGATCACAGGACCTTGGGATCATGACCTGGACCGAAGGCAGACGCTTAACAACTGAGCCACCCAGTCTACAATTGTGAATCAATTTTAAACTAAAAAAAAAAAAAAAAAAGGAAGTTAGAATAGGGATTATTTGATAGTGCTGAGAAATCTGCTACACTAAAAAAAATTGTCACAATATGATGCCCTTCCCCCCATCCCCCACCCATCCCCTTTCGGTCATGTTGTCCTGGGTGAATGACTGGCCAGATCAGGTTACGATAAAAGCCCAAGAGAAATTCTACACCCTGATTCTGCACTTACATTTTTCAGTTTCCATACTCTTAAAAAAAACCACTCACACCTATCACCCCAAAAGACAATCACACAGAGTACATTCTAGGCTGGGGGGCTGGGGTCGCTGGTATAATTCCTCTACTTCCTAGCTCCTGCCAGGGGCCCAGGCAGGGGAGGGATGGAGCATGAACAGTCACCAGCCCCACGAGGGCACTGGCCGCCTTGCTGCCCTGTGCCACCCGCCCTGACGATAGGCTCTCTTCCTCTGAAATCAAACTACTGCCTTAAGAGAGAAGCTCCAGACGGTAGGAGGCTGCCGGCAGCCGGCCAGGAGTTCAGTGATCTGAACCACAGGCCAGCCTCGTACCTCCTCAGATGCTCCCCCTGCGGCTACGGCCTCGGGCCCGCTCCAGCTTTGCAGACCGCAGAACACCGGCCTTTCCTCCATCCACCTCCCGGGCCCGGGGACATGTGCTTTGGGTTCCTGACCTTAGTTCTTCCCAAGGTCTTCTTGGAGACAGACCTACGTTACTACAGTCCGCTTTATTATATTTGCTTTTAGCTGAACTGGGGCTTGCTCCGCCGGGGGGGTGGCGCTGGAGGGTGAGCCCGCGGGGTGGGCAGTGTGGTGGCGTGTGAGGCTGGCCGGGCGCGCACTGGCAGGAAGGCGCGGGTACCTGGCGGGGGATGCGTCCATGGTACCAGGCGTGGCTTCGCAGGTCCTCGCTGCTCAGCAGCAACTCCTCCTCCAGCTCCTTCTTCAGCCGCTCGGGGGTCCTGTCCATAATGTGCCTCTCCTTGGAGAACTGCAACACAGGATCACCGGTGACGTCCCCCCGCCCTGCCCGGGACGGCCAGGCCCGCCAGCTGGAAAGGCCCGCCCGCCTCGCGGTTAGCTGCTTGGCTAATCAAGCCAGGATATGCCAAAAGCCTCGTGCAGGTAGGGAAGCCTGGATAATGATTACAATTAGCTGTGACCTTTCCCTTCTCCGGCTGCAAGTATGTAGTAACATTTTCAGCTACACACGGGGACTATGAGAGGAGACGGGCGAGCTGTTCCTGTTATCAGTGGGCTCCGAGAGCCGCTGAAGACAAGGGGCGCTGGCGAGGGGGCGCCACAGAGAGATGAGCAGGGAGGGAGGCACTACTCAGCCAGGGGACCTTCCTCCTTCTCCCCGGGGACTATCCGCACACGGAGCCAGGAAGGACAGCCGTCCTCGGATGGCCCATGGTCCGGAGCCGGGAAGGACAGCCGTCCAAAGCGCAGTCCCCAGGCTGATGACGGTAATGGCCCCGAATTCTTTGCTACTGGCAAACTGCAATCAGGAACTGAGTTCACCTTTAGAAACATTCAGAGCAAGCGGACAGAAGAATTTTGTCTCTTGAATCTAACAACACAAGTCTGACTCTGTGTATTTTGTCTTTTTAATTTCATTTTTCTGATATTTCATTTTTATGACAGATTAGAACTTGAAACTTGAAAAACTGGTGTCTCGCCTCTGAGGGTTTGAGAATCGCGGATATAGGTCGCCGCACGGTGGCCGGGGCGGGAGTCCGGGAGGGCCACACTGGCTCCAGGTTTCATTTAGAATCCACGCCCACTTTCATGGGAGCTGAACTTGGACACCTGCCTGGTTCCCAGCAAAACCAGGCTCACGGATCACTGGCTGAAGGTCATGGGAGCAGGAAAACGCTGGGTCCTTGTTTTCCCAAGTTCCCCAATTTGGCCTCAAAAGCCTCTAGGAATCACCGGATTCTCATCCCACTGCTCTGCACCTCAGCCAGGGAAGAGGCTGCACCCAAGGGAAAGGAAACAGACTTGGGATTTTTACAGCCCTCAAGTCTCTGTGGGCACACTGGCCCAGGAGGGCGCCGGCTGCAGAGGATTCAGGGCCGCTCAGAGTGGGGCTCTGGTTTCCCAACTGCTCACTTCTCCCGCTCCACTTTCCCACCACCCTGCCCCACAGAGTGGACTCCTGCACCGCAGAGATGCCCACGTGGGCCATGCCAGCTGCCCACAGGCGTCCGCAGCATCCCACATCCATCAATTATGCCCAGTCACATCTGAACACAGCTCATTGGGAAGACTTGAGTCCAGAATGCAGATTGTCAACTAGGCCGCATTCACTGATAGTTTATTATCTGTCTTGCCTCCCACTGGATTTTAAGTTTCACGAGAGCAGAAACCCACCTGCCTTCCTACTGCCCTGCAGCAATGCCTGAACGTATTAGGCTCTCCTCGGTCACTGAATGAACCAATACCCCAAGATGAGGTCTCTCTAGCCTTTTCTTCGTTACAGAGCTTCTCCTCCTCAATCTCAAACTATTCGAAGCCCCATGTCAGCTGAGCATGTTGCCACACAACTAAAGGATGTCATTCCCCAATTTTCCTTGGCCAAGGAAAGGCGCACTGCCGCTTAGTGGGACTTCTAAGCTGAGATGTGACGGCTGGAACTGTGGCGCCATCTTGGACACGAGGAGGGAGCTGCATCCTCCAAATGGGGCAGCAGAGGCCCCAACAGGCCCAGATCCCTCACAACGGTCCCAGATTGCCCACCTCCAGATATTTCGTGTGATCATCTGTCCTGTTTGAGCCCATATTTTGGTTGTTCCTGTTACTGGCAGCTGAACTAAAATCCTAACCCATACTATGACCCTAGCTTCTATTTGGCCACCCTGACAGTCTTTACGCAGAGCCTGAATCCCTTGTACTGTGCCCTGGGCCCACTTCTTCTTGGCCCGAGCTCTGAAAATGTAGTCATCAGGAATCATACCCCCTGTGTAACCCTCCACTCAAACTGTATTCACCCAGACCCAAAAAGCTGTTCCCTTATTTCTCTTTACAGCCAGTCTCCTTCCTCCCTGATGCCCAATACCCAGGCCACTTCCCACCATCACCCCCTCTCTCTTCTTCTCAGCATCCTTCACAAATAGCAAGATTTCTTAGCATTTTATAAACAACAATCCTTCATTCCAGATTTTGAAATAATACCGCTTTATACACTTGTTACCAGAAATATAAAATCTGCTATCTTGTTACTTTTGCCCTACTTCCTTAGAGGAAAATCCACAATTATTGTTCTCCCCCCACTGTGGACTGTGGAGATGGGGCATGATAGGGCACTGCAGGAAAGTACCAAGGGAGGAGAGAAAAGGGGGTCAGAAAGATTGACCCTCCCTTGAGATGGAAACTCAGACTTCAAAAACTGTGCCCTTCAGCTCTTGCATAATTTGTGCAAAGTCAGGAGGTTACACAATTGACTAGATTTATAATTTGGGGGAGAGGGGAGAAGGAGGAAGAGAGGGAGGGAGGGAGACAGATCCAGAGCAAGCAAGCAATTGCAAGCAAGGGCTCTTCATTTCAAACCACTGAGAGCCGGTTCTACTACATTAAAAAGAGCCAGGCTGGCCTCCGGAAGCCTCCACCTCAGCAGATGATGTGGGCAACATCTCTCAAACAGCTGAACAAGGCAATTCAAAAGTCACCCACGTAGGGTCGCCCTCATGATTACGTTAGTAGTTATTTTGGGGGTGAATGCCTTCTAGAACTTTCACATACTCTTTAAATCACACACATTAATGCATCTTCTAATTATTTTTCCGAAGTGCCTGTAATTTGTGAGCCTTGCCCTTGCCAACTACGATTGTGCCACTATATGTAAGGACTTTGATGGGCTGTCAACTTCATGGTGGGTGAGGGGTGACCATGTAGGAAAATTTGGCAAAATGCATCCATTTGCATCTTTGAGAGCACTGTGATGGACATTTGTGCTCCCTGGGGACCAAGCCCGACATTCCCGCTTCACAGGATAGGTCACATGGGACTGTGATGTCGGCAGAATTCTGTCGGCTTGCCCCCAACAACCAGAACTTCTGCTAACAGTGCGCCCCTCCACTTAACTGCGGCCATCTGGGCCGAAGATGAATTTCCCCCTGAAATGCAGCCATTTCAGGCATGGCCTAGGCTAGTTCTGGGGTCTTTGGGGCCGCAAAAGAAATTCTAGCAATTTAGGGTAACACACAGTACCACTGCCCTTGGCAATGGCTTTATCTCTTCGGTGTCCTCACCGGCGTGCTTTGAAGTTCTGACTGATTCCACTAATGCCCTAAGAAGCCTCCTGGCCTTCCTGAGATTACCTTCTGAGGAAAGAGCAGAAGAGAGAAGCCCCTACTCCCACAGTTACATGCATCATTATCTTATGCCCGGCCCAGAAGTATGCATGAGACCAGCCGAAGAGGAAGTACAGGTCCCCGCCCTCCAGCGCCCTCCCATTTCGGGAGAGTAAAGAGCACACAACCCCTCATACCAATCTGTCCCCGCTCCTAGAGGCTCATCTCCCAGCTCATCTTTCCCAACGCTTTCCCGTTTGTTTCTGCAGACATCTTATGAACGCAATGTGCCTCCAAGACTGGACCCGAGTCATTCTCAGTCTTCTGCGCGCACGGGCCAGCGGGCATCTGTGACAGAGGGCACCGTGGCACCCAGAGCCGGTACCATATAGCTGGGCTCTCGCAGCAAGTTTACACTGAATGGAAAGCAGTCCTGACTGGTCCTTTGCATTTTATGTTCTTCAACCACCAGAGAGACAGATAGCAAGAAAACCCATGAATAATTGCTACCTCACCCAGATGCTATAAATGTTACTAACAAGCACATTATAGTATACACCTTCTCCTCCATGCTCAGGTTCTCTAACTGCTCTCCCCTGAACTGGAACTTCATGCCTAGAAGGCAAGTCTGATTCTGCGTTACCCGAGCTCCTTATGTTGAGGAGAGGAGGTGGCAGTGGGTGGGCTGGAGGCAGAGTCCAGTTTCTCTAGCCCCCAGCGCAGGCTCCGGATCCAGCCATGCTGAGCTCCCCCACCCCCCACAGTAGCTGGGGTGCACCCTCCAGAGAAAGCGGAGCTGCTAGGCTTTAGATCAAGAACATTCTGCCCGTGAGCTCTGCCAGGTTCATTCGAGTGACCAGATCCACCCACGGCCCCCAGGAGAGAAAGATGTGGGCGGGCCCCACGTCTCCTACTCCGAGGCTTTGCCTGAATTGGATCTACCAGAAATTTGAGAGTTCTCTCTGGGGGAGGAGAGGGGTGCAAGAAAAGGGGCTATGGACGTAAATTAAGTAATCAGAATACCTTGAGCAGGAAAGAGAGGTAACTACTATAACATGGTTTCCCACTCACTTGGCTCCACTTCCAAAATTTCATCTTGTCCCAGTCATTAGTTCTGGGGGCTGAGATGAGGGAGGTGAGTTGATAACTAGGGCAAATGCAGGGAGTGGATGAGGCCCACACCTGTCCTACCAAACTGAAGTTTAGTTAGAAAATTCATTCGTTACCGGAATTGTTGCTTTTCAGGGAAATCTGAGTCCAGCTACCTCCTTCCTGCTGCCAGCCTCTTAATAACCCGGACGCCACAGCACAGTACGTAAGCACGGCCAGCCCTCTCCCTCCATCCACGGGCCACGTGCCACTGACTGGCTGTGTGGCTTTGGGTAAATGACTTTACCTCTCCACAGAGCCTCAGGCTCCTGGGCTGCAAAATGGGGATGATAGTACGTGACGAGATGTTAATCAGGATGGAATGGGTCCATTTGGGGAAAGCACTCACAACATCCCTGGGACACAGCACGGTTAACTGTTATCAGAGACACACCAGAATGCTACCCATCTG